AAAACACCTCAGCATTTTTTTCAAAGCTATATATTTACATTTTTTTGTACTTACATTTTTATACAAAACAACCTTATCACCTTCAAAGTAGTCTCCATGACACTTAATACATTTGTCAAATCTGAGATTCCATTCCTGAAACATTTTTCAAACTCATCTGTTTGGATGGCTGACAATACTTCCTTTGTTTTTTTCTACATTACTTCTAAATTGTCAAATTACTGTCCTTTCATGTCCCTCTTCATTCATGGAAACAAAAAGAAGTCCATGGAGCAAGGTCAGATGAGTAAGATGTGTGGGGCCAGGGAGGCATGCTGTTTTTTGCCAAAAAACTGGCACACTGAGATGGCTGTGCAAGCAGGTATATTGTTGTGGTGGCAAAACCAGTCCCCGTCTGCCACAAATCAGATATTTTTCATCACACATTGTTTCGCAATCTTTTCAGAACCTCTAAATATAAATCTTGATTAATAGTCTGACCTGGTAGAATGAACTCCAAATACACTATGAATCAACAATTTCATCCATTTGGGAAGATGATGGATGTCCAGAACACAGTTTGTCATCAATCAACATTTCACCTTTTTTGAAATGAGAAAGCCCCTCATACACTTGAGATTTTCCCATAGCACTGTCTTTGTAAGCTGTGTTCAACCTCACAAGTTTCTGCTGCATTTACCCCACCCCCTAAGCAGAAACAAAATTTCACAGTCATGCTATTCTCTTAAATTTGGCTTCACAAAAAATGAGGTTCAAACGAAACTGCTTTTACAAAAAAATTCGCTGTAACCAGAGAGACCCTTGCCAGGTGATGCCACTGCATGCACTTACTTAGAGTGAGTTGTTCAAGGTTCACCTAGTGGGAAAAATACGTATTATGAAAGCTCCACCACCCAGCAGAACTTTTTTCTGTTTTTTGGGGGGGGAGTACCCCCTTGTATGCTGAACAATCATTCGACTAGCTGATCCATATTTAGCTGTTCTGATTTATGCACACATTCTACTTAGTGATAGATTTAGGAAAATAACTACTTCATAATCCAGGACTGCCTATACATAATATGACATTCGTATGACATCCAAATCACATAAAACCCTAGTTCATTGAATGTATCCTTAATGTTAAGTGATGCTTCATGCTTGAATGGTCTTTCTTTTTGGGTTATCAACAAAATTATATTTGGGAGATACCTTGAGATGTAGAAAGCTGAAATGACACATCCAATGGCTTAGCTGTCTCCTCTTCATTCTTTAACCCTTTGGCTCTCTTGTTGCTGTTAGGTGCCTTTGAGTCAGCTCTGACTCACAGCTTTCCTATGTACAACAGAATGAAACCCTGCCCAGTCTTGTATCATTCTCACAATTGTTCTTATGTTTGAGCCCATTATTGCAGCCATGGTGTCAACCCATCTTGTTGAGGGCCTTCCTTTTTCTATGCCCCTCTGCTTTAGCAAAACCGATGTCCATTTCCAGGGATTGATCTATCCTGATAATATGTCCAAAGTATGAGAGACAAAGTCTCACCATGCTTGTTTTTTTTTCTCAAGAATCTTTCTGGCTGTACTTCTTCTAAGACCACTTTGTTCTTTTGGCCGTCAATGGTACTTTCAACATTCTTTGCCAGCACCATAATTGAAATGCATTGCTTCTTCTTCAGTCTTCCTTATTTGATGTCCAACTTTCACAAGCACATGAGGCAAGTGGAAATATATGGATTGGGGTAGGCACACCTTAGATCAAATAATAACATCTTTGCTTCTCAACACTTTAAATAGGCCTTGTGCAGATTTACCTAGTGCAATGCGTTGTTTGATCTCTTGACTGCTGCTTCCACGAGCATTGATTATGGACTCAAGCAACACAGAATCTTGATGTCAATCTTTTCAATATATATCATGATATTATATATTGGTCCAGTTATGAGGATTTTGGTTTACTTTACATTGGGTTGTAATCCATATTGAAGTCTGCAATTCTTGATCTTCATCACCAAGTACTTCAAGTTTCCTTACTTTCAATAAGTAAGGTTGTGTTATCTGCATAGAGTCGGTTGTTAATAAGCCTTCCTTCAATTTTTTAAAATGCTTTTCTCCAAAGTTGATGCTACATTCTTCTTTATATAACCCAGTTTCTCTGATTATTTGGTGTGCATTCAGATTGAATAAGTAGGGTGAGGGGATAAAACCCTGACATACACTTTTCCTGATTTTTAAGCCATGCTTTCTAAACATTGTTCTGTTCACACTACTGTCTCTTGATCCATGTGCAGGTTCCCATTCTGCTTAAAGCTATCCATAGTTCGTTATGCTCTACATGGCTACAGTTAATAAAGCACAGGCAAATATCATTCCAGTACTCTCTACTTCCAGCCAAGATCTATCTGACACCAGCAATGATATCCCTTTTACCACAGTCTCAGAAATCTGAATCCAGCCTGAATTTCTAGCTGCACCCTGTCGATGTACTGCTGCAACCTTTGTTGGATGATCTTCACCAAAATTTTACTTACTTGTGATATCAACAATATTGGTGTACAATTTGAACATTCTGTTGGTTGAACTTTCTTTGGAATGGGTATCTCTTTAGCCAGTTGGCCAAGTTTAGCCAGTTGGCCAAGTAGCTGTCTTCCAGATTTCTTGGCATAGAGAAGTCAGTGCTTCGTCAACTTGTTGAAGCATTTCAGTCAGTATTCCATCAATTCCTGGAGCGTTGGGTTTGGCTAAAGCTTTTAGTGCAATTTGGACTTCTTCCTTCGGTACCAATGGTTCTTGCTTTTATGTTCCCTCCTGAAACAGTAAAATGTCAACTAGTTCTTTGGGGTATAGTGACTTTGTGCATTTTCTCTCTCTTCTTTTGATGCTTCCTAAATCATTCAATGTTTTGCCTATAGAATCTTTCAACATTTCAACTGAAGGCTTGATTCTCCCCCCGCCCCCTGTAATTCTTTAAGGGTAAAGTATGCGGAGCATGTTTTTCCTTTTCAAACTCTAGGTCTATGTACATTTTATTATGAACATATCACTATATTTTACTTTAGTTTCTCAAGCTCCCCTTTGAAAATTTCTGTTCAGCTTTTTGACTCATCGTGTCTTGTGTTTGTCTTGGCTACACTATGATTATGAGCAAGTTTCGGAGTCTCTTCTCACTTCCACCCTGGTCTTTTCTTCATGTATGATGTTCTTCATGTCATTCCACAGCTCACCAGGTCTTCTGTCACTAATGTTCAATGCATCAAATCTGTTCTTGAAGTGTTCTCATAATTCCAGTGGGATAGATCAAGGTTCTATTTTGGCTCTTGTGGACTTGTTTTACTTTTCTTCAGCTTCAATCTGAACTTCCATAGGAGCAATTGATGGTCTGTTTCACAGTCATCCATTGGCCTGGTTTTAGGTGTTGATACTGAGCTTTTCCATCGCTTCCTCCCAGAGATGTGGTCAATTTTTTCCCGTGTATTTCATCTGGAGAAGTCCAAGTGTATAATCACCATTTGTGTTGTTGAAAAAAAAAAAAGCATTATCACAGGGTCACTATGAGTCAGAATCAACTCATTGGCGGAGTTGTTTGTTTTGCTGTTTGGAATAGCAATGACGTGACCGGAACTTGCCAATTGGAAATATTCATGTCCTTGAACCACAAAGTGCAGCCAGATTCCTGTGCCCACGTGGATACTCTTTGGATTCTTGGTGGGCAAGCACGGCACCCTCCGATTTCCTGGCCGATCAAGTTCCTGACAACCTCAGCGATGGCTTCAGCTCTTCCATCGGAGTGGGGAGCACGCCAGGATCCACCCCTCAGCATGCTAACAGCAGTTTGGGCCTGTCAATGTGTTTCGGGGAAACTCAGTTCCCGGTGAAGCTGGGCCACTGGGAACTGTCACCATGCTTGAGCTGGGAAGAGTGGGGCATCAGATTGTGTGTCCCAAGTCACAAGCTGATTTTTCCAGTTAAAAAACTCTTGATAGACACTTTAAAATATCATGGACAAACCAGGAGTTATTTTTGAAAAACTCTGGATGGTTGGAAGGCTCAATCTGGAAGAAGCAGTTAATAAAAGATGGAAGTCGCCACTGCTAAAACTACCTATTCATGAAAAATGACACATCGTGATGATGGGCAATTCAAGAATGTTCTATAGGTCCATGGTTTTCTTTCGTGGTGCAAAATCTAACAAGGCAAACAAATCCCACACCCAATCCAGCCATCATCATGTGTGAAGTGTGTGTTCTTATGAAGCCCCAAACATGTCTGGATTTTGAGATTAAGGAGAAAGAAAGTTCAGTTGCTGGAAAGGGGGCAGGCAGTGTTCTATAAAAACGAGGTCAGTTCTTGATTCAGAATACTACTAACATGATAACAGGGAGAGGGAAGGAGGGAAGGACGGGTTCAAGGTTCAATGTCACTGGATCGATGACATAGACATGTTGAATTGGTCTATATTCTGCTGTGTGTAATCCCAAGCACCACAACAAAATTAATTCTTAAAAAAGATAGCAAACCCATGATTTTGTTTTGTTTGCTTAAAGGAAAATGTTTCTAACCAACATTTGGTTCCTATTACTCTTCTGTTGTCCTACAAACAGCACTAAAGAAGGGGCCTCACTTCTGCCTAAAGAGTGTCATCATGAGAATGATTTCATTTTAAAAAGACATTTTTCTGCTTGGTTACCAGGCAATCTAATACTGACAGTGCCTTGGACTTGAACAATGATATCCTCGTCTCTAAGAAATGGAAGGAGGGAGAAGGTACAGTCATTACAAACTTCGCTCAAAAGCAGTTATGGACTTTTCAGAATGCTAAGACAAGAAGTGGTTTTTAGTTTTAGAGTATTTAACTGAGGGTGCATGACTTAATTTTAACTTTGTGGATGGGATTCTTCTCAAATTGATTGAATATTAAGTACAACTTTTTTTATTAAGAGATAATTTTGCAGTCCATTCTCAAAGAGGCTCTTTCCTGTTGATTCCTCGCAAGCTCTCTGGAATCCTTGCCACCCCGTCGTCATGTCTCAGGCCAAGTTTGACAAAACTGCTGAAGAAGTTAAGCACCTCAAGACCAAACCAGCAGATGCAGAAATGCTATTCATCTACAGTTGTTTCAAACAAGCTACTGTGGGCGACATAAACACAGAACAACCTGGGGTGTTGGACTTCAAAGGCAAGGTCAAGTGGGATGCCTGGAATGAGCTGAAAGGGACGTCCAAGGAAGATGCCATGAAAGCTTACATAGACAAGGTAGAAGAGCTAAAGAAAAAGTATGGAATATAAAAAGGGACTGGATGTGCATGCCAGCCAAGCCTTTGATCCTATCAGATGCCTTGTTCTTTCTAATATTGCGGTTGAAGTTACATAATGAAGATAACCAGTAACCCAGTTCCTCAAGCCGTCCAAGATAAGGATTTCCCAGATGAAGAACAAAAGATGGTTACTTAAAAAAAAAAAAGATGGTTATTAACTTTATTTGTAGATCAATTAAAAGTGAACTTGCTACTCTAAAAAAAAAAAAACCCCCACCAAAAGCAAAACAAAACAAAAAAAAGATAATTTTATTGGGTGCTCTTTTTTTGGGGGTGGGGTGGGGCGCTCTTACAACTCTTAAAAAAGAAAGAAAGAAAAGCATTATCTTTAGTTTTGCAGAATGCTATCATGTGATACTCTCAGTTTCCTTTCTGTCACCACAGCCATATTTTCAAACTATTCTTCCTTCTTTTTTGTTTCCAACTTTTGCATTCCAATCACCAATAATTATCATTGCCTCTTGATTGCACATTTGATTGATTTCAGACTGAAGACCTTGGTAAAGTTCTTCATTTTCTTCATCACTAGCTTTAGTCTTTGGTGCATAAATTTGAATAATAATTGTACTGATTGGATTTCTGTGAAGGCAGATAGATGTCTGTCTGATTTACTATGTCTGACATAGTAAATCATGATTGTCTGATTCAAAATGGCCACTACTATCCATTTCAGCTCACTAATGCCAAGAATATCCATCTTTATGCAGCTCAATTTATTTTTAAAGATTTTCAATTTTCCTAGTTTCATACTTTGTACATTTTGAGTAGTGCCCTATCAGCAAATGTAGCTCTCCAAGTCTTTTCACCATCGTCATTATAATCAACTCTTCTTTGAAAAGGCATTTCTTTTCACTCATATTTGAGTGCCTTATGACCCAACGTTCATCTGGCAATATATATTACAATTTTCAGCTGTTAAACATGAAGTTTTCGGTATCTCACAATGTTCCACTTCTGTGCATGAGGTTTCCAGTGTTTTACAACATTCCACTGACATAAGGTTTTCAGTGGCTAATTCCTCAGAAGTGTATAACCTATTCCTTCCTAATAATGTATTCTTAGTTTAGAAACTGCTGAAACCTGTTCACTTTGGATGACCCTGCTGGCATTTGAAATACCAGTGGCATAACTTCCAGAATCACGGCAGTATACAAGTCACCACAGTACAACAAAGTGACAGACAAGTGGTTGTAGGAAAGTTATTAAAAACGAAGTGGAATCCATACAGATTGATATTTTTGGCATTAGTGAGTGGAAATTTAATGGTATTGGCCATTTTAAATCAGGCAATCATCATATGGGGTTTTCCCCCTAGAATGCTAAATTCCAGGGGGATGATGTTGCATTCAATGCCTAAGAGAAAATTTCAAGATATTTCTTGAAGTACAATGTTGTTTGTGATAGCATAATATTTATATGGCTATAAAAAGATGAGTTAATACAATTATTATTCAAATTTACACATTAAACACTAAATATAGTGATGAAGACTTTGAAGATTTTTGCCAATCTAAAATTGATCAAACATGAAATCAAGATGCATTGATAACAACTGAAAAAAAAAAAGATGCATTGATAATAACTGATTATTAGAATGTCAAAGTTGGGAATAAAGAAGAATAATTTGAAATAGTAAAACATGACCTGGGTGATAAAAATAAAGCTGGAGATCTTATGACACACTTTGTAAGACCAATTACTTCTTCATTCCAAATACCCTTTTTCAAAAACAGAAATGGCAATTATACATATGGACCTGACCAGATGAAACACAAAGGGATCAAATTGACTACATTGGAGAAACTCAACATCATAAGCCAAAATAAGGCCAGGGGTCACCTACAGAATAAATAGACCATCAACAATTCACATAGAAGTCCAGGTTCGAGCTGAAGAAAAGAAAGACAAGTTCATGCGAGCCAAACTATGATTTTGGGCACATCCCACCTGCATTCAGAGCACAATTCAAGAACTGATCTGACACATTGCACACTAATGACCAAAGACCAGAGAAGTTTTGACATGGTATCGAAAACATACATGAAGAAAGGAGAAGATGACTACAAAGACGAGAAAGGAAGAAAACCCATATGGACGTCAGAGAAGATTTTGAAATTTGCTATTGAATGTAGAGTAGCTAAAGCAAATGAAAGAAACAATAAAGTAAAAGAACAGAACAGAGCAGTTTGAGAAGACAACATAAAACATAATGAAATGTGCAATGACCTGGAATTAGACAACCAAAAGGGGAGCGCACACTCAACATAGCACAAATTGAAAGAACTGAAGAAAATGTTTAAGCCTGGAGTTTCAGTGTTGAAGGATTCCGTAGGCAAAATATTGGATGATGTCGATGGAAAGAATACCCAGCGTCCTTTACCAAAGACGAATGGTCAACTTCTGACCATTTCACGAGGTACCTGTGTCAGTCTGGGTGGACTAGAGAAACAAATCCATGGACACACATATGTGTATAAGAAAGAGATTTATATACGAGAGCAATTGAGCA